AATATGAACAGGCTATTGTTTCCAGAAATATATAAAAAAAAGAAGCTTGGCTCCAGGTGATAGTAAAACATTCTCAATCACATCTTACTTGTGGATGCCCTGTGATAAGAGATAATGTGCAGGATGTTGTATCCCATGTGCAAATAGCTAGAAGAAATGTATTTAAAAGAAAAGGAGGGAAAAATGTCTTTTTAGTTGGTTTAAGTGCTCTGTACAGAAACAATCTGTTTTCTTTTGTGAGGAGTGAATAAAACTAACTCACTTGACAAGACTGGCAATCATCTACATCTTACCAGGTGAGATCCACACCTTCTTCAAGCCAGAGCTGTTGCTACAGCTGCTTCCTCCCCCGACACTGTCGCCACTTTCTCAATAAACTAGTGGTCCCCCTTGATCTCTGACACCAGTTTTGTCCTCACTGGGTCTTGGGCAGTGGTTTGAGCTGGCCTGTGCCAGGCACTCTGCTGCTGCTCTGTTCACAGGGCGGACAGGAGGCATTTGCTTCTCCCTTGCTTCATGGAGCTGAAGAGGGCACCCCAACCCCAGCAGGAGCTYGGCCTGTCCAGCTAAGGAGCAGGGTTAGAGCTGGTGTGAAGGAGGTCTGTGAAAGAGGGCAGGTGATGCGGGAACTGGGTGGGTGAGAACAGCCATAGGTCTCATGGCCTCATGTGGGGTCCACCGTCCCTTATCCATTTCAAATAGATGTGTAAAAAACTGCAGATTGCCTTTTAGTTAAGTTCCTTTCTTTGGGTAAAAAAAAATGAAGTCTTGCTCTAAACAAAATACCTAAAATTAAATGCCCATAATAGTGAAAGAGCCAAAGTAGGATTTTTTATGGATGAGCTCAGGTCCTTTCTTTGTAAAATATTTTGATCACTTACAGAACTCTGTCACAAAGCATTTATTTTGATAGCTTCAAAAAATGACCTGTGTAGTGCAAGGTGCTCTGCAGGTTTTTGTAAGCGGTTCCAATGTTTGCAGATTCTAAGTGAATGGAATAACTAGCATATTKGTATTTTTATTTGTTATTTATTTGAAATGTTTTTTACTGGTAAAAATACAGTCTGAACCTTGGCTGCCAGCATCTACTCGAGAGGCTAGTTTAGATTTTTTGCTATAATCATCTGGTTTTTTTTTTCATTGTTCATATGCCATGTTTCTGGGATAAATTAATAAAAGTTGCTGGTAGTTTTTATTGAAGTAGATCATTTTAATTAACAATTGTAAAGAGATGCCTCAATATTTTAGATACAAAGTCAAATAAAGTTTTCCATTTTTAAGGAGGTGAAATCTTGTATGAAGCGATTAAACAATTTAAATTTTCCTATTTCATCTTTTTATGAAAAGCAGGAGAAGCAAATTGCAAATATTTAAAATGTCAAACTAATGGAAATTTGAATGATGAACAACTTGCAATGCATGCGAAAAGAAGCTATGGTTTGCAGTGGGACTGTGAAAGGAGAACTGAATAATTCATCAGAATAGACTAAATAAGAATATTTCAGTGCAGCTGTTGCAGGTTTGTTTATTGATCTACCTAGCATTAGTTTTCAAAACGTTCATCATACAGCGTAGAAAAGACAGACTAGAAAACACGGTCTCCCTGAAGTGCTGAAGATGCTTTATTTCTTTTCCTGAGGCTTCATTGCCCATTGGGGAAAAAAGTCCCAAGACTACAAACATAAAAGCAGGAACAGATACAGCACATTACATAAGGCAAGACAGGAACTGTAGTTCCACCAAGACCTAAGMGGCGGAAGGCCCACGACTGCAGAATTCCTGCAATTTCCAAAGCAGTGCTTAATTCCCACTCCTTACCAAGGGGTGGCACAACTGGCTTGAAACTGGGGCAGTTCAAACTTTGCACCGTTCTGCACTATTCTCTGTATCGATGGACCTGGAGATGTGTCTTTAGACGTGTCTTAGCTCTGGAGACGGAGGGTTTYCTGCACAGCTCCTGCCATGACAGTGGGCGGCCATTTTAGCAGGCCGCGAGTCGCAATTCCCTCAGGTTCGCTGCAGAGCGAGGCCGGATTCCTCTATATCTTGACTAAGTCTAGTTTAAAAAAATAAAAGCAACACTGTAATCTAAAAATATTTTTAAAATATTGAGCCTTATATAGCAAAGCGTTATCTGTAGGCATCTTTTAAAATAAAGCCTTGATGGAAAGTTTTAATGGCTACCAGAAATCTTACAAATGTAGTTAGATCCTTCCTCCTCCCTGCCACTTCGGAATAATGATGATCTCCTCCCCCCCTTTCCTTTACTGTTAGGAACATAACCTCTTTTTTATTTTTTTCACTCTGTTCAGTTCTGTCCCTTTTGAAGTGATTTGTGAAGTGTGGCAAACAAGAGCGAGCGCTGCCGGGGCAGATCCCCGTATCCCTGTGGGAACAGTGCGTCGCGAGGAGTTGCTCTCGCCTTCCCTTACAAATGTTGTTTCCTAACCTGCAGCGTCTGGYGGAGGCCCCAGTGGAGAGGGACATCTGAGAGCCCTTTCCCATTGGGCATTAGGCACTCTGACATGCATTAATGCCTCATATAATCTGGTTTCAATAAAACCAGCAAGAACCTGGTACTTGGGGCAGAAGGCTCCTGAAAACTGGTCGTGTATCAAAGGAGATGCTGCTTAGTTCTTTTCTGTGTAATCTCTCCATTTGCAGCATTTGATGTATCTGACTTACTGCTGCTGAGATGTGTTTGCCAGCGATTTGTTTTAGTRTCTTCAGATGCTTTTATTCTGTAACATCAACTGTGCTGGACACGCTACAGTGCTTCACACAGGAGCACCAGGTCGTGCAGACACAGCTCAAGTGGCAGAGGGACCAGAAGACATTAGCATGTGAAGAGGGGCCATGGTGTGACCAGGTTTGTCATTATTAGCACCTCTTAACAGGAGGCTGCCCACTCTTAGTCTGACTCTGCACTGCAGAGTAGTCTGGACATTTTAAGGTTCCTTTAGTTTTAACGCCATTGATTTTCACCATCAGTAATGTTACTGCTGTCATTCTTTGTCTAGAAAACCTTTACGTCTGGAAGCGTCCAACACACTTCACTCAAACTGTTTCTGCACCTGTTCATGATTTGACTTGACATTATGATCTGGTGCTCAGTTTTACCAGGTCCRTTTTTTGCCTAAAAAGCCTCCAGCTTGGCTCATCCACTCTTCTCGGGAAATGCAGCTATTCTCAAAGAAATTAGTTGATAAACACAGAAACCATACAAAAGAGAAGATTACAAAATTGTATTATACTTCAGAAGTTATTTATGTGCATTGACACCACTTATTTTCCTTGCTGTTTTGGAGTCCAAGCCAGTGCCACAAATCTGGCAGAAAGGCTCCATCTCACAGTAGGCTTTCCCATGAGTCAAGCTCCATGACACTCCAGCYCCAAGAACTTCATGCAGTGCCCAAGAAATAGCCATGAAATAGCAGATAACCATCTTTGTTTGCTACGACTTTACAGAGTAGCTTCATCACTTATGGTAGTTCCTCACAGAAAGGTTTTATGATTCAAATGTGGTTGCTACCTGCAGTTTATATGACTAACTTTGTCAACTGCAATTATATAGTATTTTAACACTGATCCTAAAAAGGAAAATCTTTGAATAAATAAGAATGTCCTAATTACATTAATGATTTCTGTTTTCTAATGAATCAAAAGTTCAAAATCTGTTCTGAAAACAGTATTTTTTACAACTTCATACTTTTGTAGCGCATTCTGGACTTCTGTTTGAAAAGAGCATACAATGTAGATACTAAATATATTACTGGGAGTTGTTTAAAAAAAATTGATTCTGAAGCACGGTGTAAGCCATTGAAAAATCTGTGGTAATTAACTGAATATTTCCTTTTTTCTTGGTTTAAAAAGGTCAGCTCGTCTTTGTGCCAGTTTTCAGATCTTTCCAGCATTATTCTTTAATTTCCTAGACAGTGTGCCAMACACCTGGGAATATAATTTAGAGATCGGCATCTTTTGGATAGCAAGTGTGAGAGTACAATGAAGTGATCAGTTAATGAACAAAAGTCATTCATATTCTGTAGAGCAGATATTGGCAGATCATTAGTGAACTGCAGGCGTCTCTCTCTGCATTGTGCGTACATGAATATTTTCACAAATATTGTAAGTCTTTATAGGTCATTCAGCCTTATGCCCTAAAAGAAACATACTGCAGGAAGGAGGGCTGCTAGAAATTAAAAGTAATTGAGGTTCCAATACATGGCAACAATAATAGTTTGGCTTCCCTTTTTTGTGACGATCTCCTGCTTATAAATTGCCCGAAGCAATATTCTTTATTTGCTTATTTCAACTGAAGGGTTTGCAAAGGTAACTAATTTCATCCTCTGATTCACTTCTTAGAATCCTTTTTTCTTTTCCTTTCCAAAAATGTAACCTGAATTCTTCTAATTTGTCATGGTGGTTATTTTGAGGGTAGAATCATGAACATTACCCGCAGAATCGTGAGCGTTCCTTTGTGTGCTGCTTGTTACAGAACCTTGTTTTGAAGCTCAATATAGTCCTGAAAGAATATTACAGTCTGCTGAAATAATCTTTAAAGTGCTTGGAAATTGCTGGTAAAATGCATAAATTAGTTCCCTTTTCCTACATGTATATCAGTGTGCATGAGTGGGGATGTTTGTACTCACATAATAAGAGCAAAAGTGTGCAAGTTACATACTCATTTGTGTTCATATAGACATACATTTTCAGATACATTTTTTTATTTAGTCAAGATCTATCTGAGCAATACGTATCTGTATATCCATGCAATCTCCAGCATCCTTCCCCTCAATGTATACTTATGATCTTTAACAAATCGTTACGCTTGTATAAAATAAGACTAAATATTATACAATTTTCATTTACCTTTAGATGAAACAATGAATTGCTTTCTGCATTTTGGTCACAGCAGGTTTTTTGGTCTTTYTTTTTTTTGGCGGGGGGTTTTGTGCCTACCATGCAATGACAAAGGTTTATTTTCCCTTTGTTCTTTTCAGAGTGCTGCAGCAGCTCCCAGTCCAGTGCTAGGAAACATTCCCCCAGGAGATGGCATGCCAGTAGGTCCTGTACCACCGGGTTTTTTTCAGGTATTCAGAAAAATTATGATTACAGGAATTCTAGGATAGAAAATCCTCCGTATTGCTGTTTAAAAGTCTGTAGAAAAGGTCCTGCTCTAAACTATATGTCACTGTATGGTGCAATACTTGAGTTATTTTTTTTTTAACGAAAGTAAATAGATGGAAAGGAAGGGATTTCTCTGACTAGCAAGTATACCATTTGTAAAATAATATAGCGTAACTCATTTCAAAATTTCAGGGATATAAAACGATGCCARTTTACAGTCTGAGCTTGAAAACGCTTGAATATAATTTTAGAACATTTTCTTATGATAAATATTAGAATTGCATTGCTACTTTAAAGTAAGAATGTTGTTGGTCATGTTTAGCCTTGTGGTAGAGCCACAAAATTTTTAAGATTCTCAAATTTCAGTGGGAATTAGACCTAGACAATATAGAATATCCTACCGAGCATCTGTTTGTGTTGAAGATCTCAACTCCAAGGTCTAAGAAATGAGTCAAGGATTTAGAGCATGCATTGCCTCTCATAAGGTCGTAAAAGGAAATAAATACCCAACTAACACTTTGCACATGGGCAGTACAGAGTATTAGGATGCAAAAAAAAAAAAAAAWGCATTTTACAGTGCAAGCCAACCTAACAATTTTAGTCCAAGATAGGATTGCTSATACGAGTGAGCTTGTGTCTCTACTTGATCAAAGCTCAGTTCTTTTTCTCTGCATGGGCTAACTGCTGCTGGAAGCAGTAGATGGGAATGCCATAGATTTAAAACATCTCTTTAAGATGGAGCAAAACAGAAATCTTGATCTCATGACATGAAAGGAAAAATCCAGATTTCCAGAACTGTAAYGAGGGAAAAGAAGATCTTGACAGGAGGCTTCCATTCCATGCAAAACAAGTGCTGAAATCCTGGTTGATAGAGGAGCATCTTTTTCCTTCTTCTATGAGATATGTAGACAAAAGAAAAGCAGATTTCATCTGAGAATGAAGAAATATTTTACTGTCCTACCCCTTTACAGCTTATTGCTCTCTTATCAGAATGGTGCTTGTAGAAAAATGGCAGGATAGGTTTTTTTAGGCCTCTAGAAACTTATCAGTAGTTTATTTCGTGTATCCATTCTGAATGTAAGAGAAAACAGATTATTTGCATAGCGCTCCTTTTCCCAGTGTCACAGAGGCAAGAGGGCTGTATGCAGTGTTGGTACTTACCTAGGGAAACCCTGAACAGGGCATGAGCAGGTTGTTTGCTTGATTGACTCATAATCTGAGGCAAGGTTTAGGAAAGATATTTTGCAAGTGAAGCACAAGGTATCATATAGCTGCCAGTCACAGTATCTTAGGAAATTGGCAGAAGTAATTACTTGTTTTATTTCTGGTTTTCCTGTTATGAACTGCTGGCTATGTAGAGTTTTTTAACACTTTTTTTTTCTTATTTTTTCGTATCATATAAATATTTTACTTTTTCTTGCTTTGGCTACGCCTTCTAGCCATACCACCAAAAGAACTAGAATTTTTGTTTTCTTAAAGGAAAGTAAGAGAAAGGCCACRGGAAGAACAGTTGTGAGAAGTATAGAGGAGAGAGCAAGTATATTAAAGGTTTTGCAGAAGGGTGTGGAGGCTTTGTTTTTAAGTACATAAGCATCAAAAAGCTTCTACTTATTTTGGCTGCTGAGAGAGGTAACAGAGACAAGATGATAGAAAGTTAGAGTTAAGTGAGGCTAAGCTTAATATTTCTCATCTGAAACTAAAGGTTCGCTCAAAGTACTTTACTTCAGTGATGTGCTCTTTCCTAAGACTGTGGGGACGATAGACAGGAAAGATTTCTGTGTTGTTAAATTTGTCCGTAGGGAAATGTCTTTCTGTTTCTCTGAAGTTCACTTTCTCTTCCAAAATAAGCCTCCCAGTATGAAGGACTGCCTTTATATCTCAGATATCTCAGGAGAAAAAAAAAAAAAAAAAAGACAGATCCTTGTTTATCAATATCTGAATTCAGTCTTATTTGAAATCCCCCAGACAGCCTGTTCTTTTTCCAAGGCCTGGGATTGAAAATATACTGAGGAAAATCCATTTTCACTGTAAGACAGTTGGTAACATTAATCAGAACCATAATCAACTCAACAATATGTTTGATGAATCTTCTACAAGACAAGTTCCAAGAACTGATCTGCACAGTCCAATTAGTTTGGACTCCTCCAGAGATTACTATTCACCTATTCTTGAAGCTGCTGAGTCCTTGTCATCGTGTCCCTCTGTAACATGCAAGACTCATTTGGTCTCCTTTGTAGTTGATAGAGATCTGCTTTCCACAGCCAGGCAGCCCAGTTAACAAAACAAATATTTTTCAAGAGATCATTTGTTTTCTCTGTAGTTTTTGTCTGTTGAAGCATATATACAAAAAAAAAAAAAAAAAACATTTTAATTAGCCAGCCTAGCTGTGTTTGATGGCAAACACATAGATATGGCTGGGAGCAATCCCAACAAATAGGAGCTAAGCCAAATTGAAGGCGGGTTCATACCAGCGTGCTGAAACTGTAAGGTGTGTATTAAGCATATAGGTATAGACCTCCCATGATCACGTGCTGTGGAGATGGAATTGTGAATGTTGGGGAAGTGCCTTTTAGTCAAGAAGCGGCTGATGTGGGATTGTAATGCCTTCAGAGCTGATTCTTACTAATGTCTCAATGTGAATCTTGAAAATGGAGGAGCATCATCCATTGTCTTAAAAAGCAGGCAAAAAGACAAGAAAGAAGATTAGGGGGGAAAGTTCCCATTTCTTTAATAGATGCTTTCTTTCTAATTTATCCAATTTAGTGAATGAATTTCTATATGCACTTCCGCACTTGCACTGAACCTGACAGATCACCACACTAACCAAATCATGGAAGTATTTGTCTGTGAATACCGAGGAACTGCAGTCCCTTCTCTGTCTGTTACTGGTCTTCTTTCACTGAGGGACAGAAATGTGCACTTGGGCTTTTCACAGTCTTCTAGATCGTGAAAGTGAGCASTTATGGTTTCTTAAAAGTCAGAAACGTATAGAAACGGTGTTTGAATGGTACTTCTCTATTTAATTCTTGCTAAGGCTTTCCATTACTAAAATATTGTAACAGCTCAGCATTTTGCAAACTGAATCTTATMAGTGGGAATTTATGGAATTTATCAAATTGCCTTTATTGCATTCAAGAAAATATTTGGATTGGTCCAAGCTGAAAGCTACCAACAAGCACTACCTTCCATCTCTGCTTGCCGAAAGCTCTGCAGCATTCGTGGAGTTGCTTCTCAACACCAATTCAGGGAAAGGGGAAAGACAGTAACTTAGATGGGGACTGTACTGGGAACCAAGAGACATGATAAAAGTTCCAGTTTCGCTACAGCTGTGGACCTCTGCTACATAGTGCTGTGTCCCACATGTCCCCATGCCCATGTGGACAAAATCTGGGAACAGGAAGATTTCTCAAAAACAATGTACCAAAAGCTTTACGCTACTCTTTATAAAGTGAGGTATTCATGTATGTGTATTAGGCCACTGCTAGTGACATTAAACAGTAGTTTCTGGAGTGCCTGGTCTACGGAGGAGGAATTTTGAAGCCAATTTCTATTGTATTTCTCTGTTTGTATTTCTGTATTTTAATTCTGATGTTCATGTTCAACATTACAATGCTGAAGGTCAAAAATGTAATGATATAATGAGAGGGAGCTGGTATAGTAGTGTGTAACTGTTATGTAGATGTTTTAAAGAGAGTGGTTTAAAGTGTTTGAAAATTAAATTTGTGAAGTCAAGAAAACAGGTTTATGTGGATTTGGGAAGTGTCTCAATTTCATCTACTAGTGCATGTTACAATATAACTTCTAATTTCATATCTAGATTTTTTTTTGTCTACGCAAGACCATGTCTCCTTTCAGTACATAGGATAGGCAGTCCTCTGGAAATAAAATCGGGTTAGACTGTAACTGCATCTACTCCACAGAGTAACTGAGCCTCCTTCTGCTTTGTTTGCTGCAAAACTGAATGTGCAGGACTAGAGGAAGAGGGCATAGAGCAGTTTTATGATATAAGACTATTAAATCCCAAACAGAAGAACCAAAACAAATTTTAGAGTTGACTTTTTGTCAGGTTGATGTAATGAGACAACAGGTCTAATGCAGCTTGGTGGCTGGGATATCTGGATGATCAGCGCATCTGGCAGTAAGTTGTTTTCTCAGAAAGGGGGTCTCAGGAAAGGGTAGTGGTTAGGAGCTGGAGTGCTGGTCTGAATCTTAAAAAATAACAGTGTGCAATTCTTTCCAAAGTTCTCCATGTTTTCCCTTTACCCAAGGTAAGCTATTTCATTTCTATTTGTTCTTGTTTCTCCACCTATAAAAAGGAAGTTCATAAGGGGAAATCCTTTTAAAAGATAATGAATTGCTTGGGCCATAGAAATCGTAAGCCTGACTTAAACTCCATGAGGACAAGATGACTATATGCACGTCTGAAATTCTCATCTACCAGAATCTTGCTTCCGGTCAGAGTCTTGGAAAGAGATCTTCATTTGCCACTTTTCCTCTCTTAACCACATTCATTATGTTGAGGACCTCTGCATACACAGAGCTAAGACGTGAGGAAAGCACTTAGCTACTATGGTAATAAAATAAAGTAATTTAGGGCATTTTCTGTGCCATTTTTAAGCCTAAGAGTTGGTCCCTTGTAGATTTCTTGTTATGGCTGTCCACAGAGAACACCATGACCTGGGCTTCATCCCTGTCATTAGAGCCCTAGATAATATGAAAAAAATGTATTTACCTTTGGGTTTAAACATTAGGGATTGCATATAAACTTAGCAGCCAAAGTTTTGCAGAAGGCTGTTAGTAAATTCATACAAGATGAAGTAAACATCCATTTCTGATCAAAAATGCTTAGGTCATGGTGTTTTTCATAAGAGTACTGTGCAATAAAGATACAGGAATAAGAAAATCTTCAAGTATTAAGTACTAGCCTCACTCTGTTCTTCSTGTAGACAATGAGATCTGAAGA